TAAACAGAAGATTCCTGAGGCTATTACACAACTACTGAGGAAGCTCATAGAGTGAAATGCGTTTAGCTGAACTTTGGACTTTATATTGGGACTCTTTTATTTAGACTTCTTACTTTCTAGAAGAAGTACTTATTTTGTTTTAATTTGTTATTTTAAGCGTTTATTTCCACATTGCCACTGTATTGAAGGGGTGAGTGTACCCTTTTATTATCTGTATTGCAATAGCTCTCCACCTGTTGGTATATAGCTTATACCATTTCTTCTTAAATATTTGTACTGTATTGTGTATAAAGGGTATTCCACTTTTCGTGTTGAGCTGCTTCCACTATTTAGGCACCTTAGAGTATCACTCACTATCCCTGGTAAGAGATAGTTGTTTCTTGCATTTCATTTTATAATACTAAAAGACTGATAGACATCTTAAATGCAATACAGACAGCAGGGACTACCTTGCTGACCATTTTGTTAGATGCAGAAAAAGCATTTGACAGGGTAATCTGGGAGTTCCTGAATTCTACTCTGGCTGCGTTTGGATTGGAGGGCAGGTTCTATGAACAAATAAGGGCACTACATACAACAATGACTGCCAGAGTTATGGGCCAAGGTTTTACTTCTGGTTGGTTTTCTTTAATGAATGGAACTAGACAGTGGTGTCCCCTGTCCCCTTTGCTTTATATTTTGTCACTAGAACCCTTAGCTGAGGCCATAAGACAAACATTTGGCATTTTAGGTTTTAAATCAAACAAAAGCAATATCAAGATAAATATGTATGCCAATGATGCAGTGTTAACTCTGCAAGAGCCGGTACAATCAATATCACAGCTTATAATAACTATAGAAGAATTTGCAAAGGCATCAGGATATAAACTAAATATGGATAAATCTATAATTCTACCAAGCAATATTTCTAACGAAGTCAAAAAGGAAATTAAAGAAAAAATAGATTTTACAGAGACAGTACATTAATTTAATTATTTGGGTATCAACATATACTCTGACCCAACCAAGATAGTCAACTGTTATTTCCTGCCTTTCCTTTCTACAACAAACAAATTATTGAAAGAGTGGAATACACTAGAATGGTCACCAAAGTGATTGTATATGATGAGAATGATCCCTTTACACATTCCAGACACCCAGTTAACTATTATCCAACATGCTTTCTTAAAATTCATATGGCAAGGAACAAAAAAAATGGCCAGTAAGTACCTAGCATTGAAAAAAACACAGGGGGTGAGGGGGGGGGGTGGGGGGTTCCCAATAATTCAGCAATATTATAAAGCAAACTTTTTATTTCACAGTATTATTACAAAAATGCCTCTGTCCAAGAGAGATGGTACGAGGTTGAACAAAAACTTGTGGAAAATAATGAGGTGCTGAAATTATTTTGGTCTGTGCAAGAGTCCAACTCTAGTCTGGTAAAGAGGAGTTTGGGAAGCATTGTGGTGAAGTCCATTATCAAAATGTGGCAAAATATTAAAAAAAGAGTTGAAGAAAAGAAAATACATAATTAAGGTCTTACCGTTTAAAATGTTGCCTTAAAATATTCAAGATCTTAATTTAAACAATCAATTTAGGTATTGAGAAAATGTCAGGCCAGGTATGAGAATCATGTCTTTTGAAAATATCAGAGAGAAATATACTCTACCACAAACTGAATATTTAAATTTTTTAAGGATTAAAACATTTTTAAACACCTTTTGTTCTACTGAATAACTTGAAGTACACAAGCTCCTAGGAAAACTTATTACAGGATCTGAGACAAAAAATCTATTAAAAAATGTTCTAACATTTTGAGAATTTTGGAATCATCTCCAATATTCCCAGCACTTAAAAAGTGGGAAAGAGATTTGAATAGGAAAATTTCAGGTACAGAAGGGATATACTCATGGAATTTAGTCTTAAAAAATTGTTCACAGTTCATCTGATCTATGCTGGAGTTGTAAAGCAAGAGGAGATTAATATCTGGTGGAACTGTGATGTGATTCAAATTTATTGGACCGCCTGGCACCCCAATCAATCGCTGCTTCCTAGTACTTTCGAGCACCATAAGCACCACACCGGAACACCATAACCATCGTAAACTCTACAAACAACCACAGTTTGGTTGGGGTCTCGCTGTGCTCCAAGACCAGGATCCAGCTTCCAGTGGGTAAACCTCTCCTAGTCCAGAGAGCAAAGCAGGCTGCTCTTACAAGAGCAATCGATGTGATCCAAAGGAGTATAGTGATTATAGCAATCCCCAGAATGAATATAGCTCTCCAATCCCCCAAACATGAGCCTAGACTTCATGAAGGATAAAACAAATCTGTTTAATGGCAGCCACAACTGACCTTATATGCACGTCCCCATGCAAGGGGCACTCCCCCCTGGGTCTGAGAGAAGACTACAGTAAAAACATATACACAATTACATTGGCTCTCAGGTCCAGGACACTCCCATACAAATTAGGTCAATCTCTCTCATATGCCTAGGAGATAATTGAGTCAAACACTGTATTAAACTCAAATCTCTCCATGCACCAAAAACACACCTTTTACAAAACCCCCAAAATACCTCAAAACCCACAAAATCCCCATATTCCCTGATAGCACCAATCTGAATGACCAACATATACAAAAATCACCCAGATCCCTTCAGGGGTTCAGGAATTTCCTGGAAGTCATAATTTGACCGACCACCCGTATGGTCCAGGCCCAAAACAGTTCCAGAGAATCAGGGCTTGCGGTCAGTCTAGTTCATTAGTTTAAAAACAAACAAACAAACTACTGATCAGAGTCAAGAGTCTTACCCTGGAGCTTGATCCCCTTGTTCGTGGGAATGTTTTCACCGAACAGCACCTTTCTAAGTGTTGTAGAACCAAATGTAGGCGATGCTGGGAGTCCAGCAGTGTTCGGGAGTTTCTGTGTCTGTTTTCAGTTCCATGAGCTTTATGCCCAAACACTGCTGCCTGCTTTCATGCAAACAAGATGGCCGCCACCTCGTGGTCGTCCATAGGAATTGTAGCCACCCAAATGAACACATAGAACACTGCAGTGGAAATTGCTACAAAGTAGCAATTAGGCTTATCAAGCTCCAGGGTAATCTCTAGTTCATGCGGCTGTTCGGTTCCCGAAACACAGGGGCCGGTAGTCTTTTGGTAAGAGGCTGTCCAGCAGACCCCTCCATGAACATGTGACGAGGCTCAGTTTGTCACAGTTACATTATCAGATTCAACAGATCGCCGATTTAGATCTGCTATTTTATCATGAAGTGTTCCTATTATATTTTGAGATAATTAACGTCAATAGAAGTTTGAAAATGTTTCTTATTCATATATTAGTAGCAGCAAAAATTCAGATATTGGAAACAAGATATAATGCCCCATTGGTTTCTAATTAAAGAACAATTTTTATTCCAGTTAATAACGGAAAGAGGTTTAATAAATCAATTGGATAAAACTAAGAAAAATATTGATATCGATAAATGGATTAAAAAAAACACTAATGCTTGAGATACCTCTTTGAAATAGTGTATGTTTTTCAGAATAATTGTGGATGTTAAAGCCTTTTCATCTTGATTTGACCCCCTAAGTTAATATACAGTATAACTATATATTTTCAACTGTTTTTTCAACTTCTTGTGCAGTTACCCTTCTCTCCCTTATTAACCTCCCTTTCCTTCCTAAACATTTTTTTGTAAATAATCAAACTATGTCTCTAATTTATAAATATCTCTGTGTTTCCTTAAGTGTAAACATGAAAATGTTGTATACATTTATTTTTTTAAATTATAGTGTCTTAAAACTATTAATTGTAGCTCCCCTTTCTCTTTCTTTTTCCTTTCTTCTCTCCTTCCCCCACTCTCCCTCACATATTTTGCAGATATTTCCAGTTCTTTGAGGTTATTATAACGTTGATCAGGAGGTTATTTATACTCTGTGTAACATAGCATCTAATGTTGTGGTTCCCTATAATAGGGTGTTAAAAAAAAAAAAAAAAATCTCTCTTCTTCCTTTTTTCATTTTTCGCCTTCTCTTTAGAGGTTTTTCTCTTTGAGCCAGATGGCAAGTTTTTCGGGTGAATCACACACAACTGTACTCTATTCATAAGAGATGATTATTTTTGTGGGATAGCCCCATTTGTATTTTATCTCTTTCTTCCATAGTAACTTTGTTAAATCAGCATAACGTCTTCTTTCCGATCTAGTATAGTAGGACAGATATGGTAAAATTTTTATTTGTGTAGATGGGGAGGTCATGTGAATATTTTGTGCCACTTTAATAATTTGCTCTTTAAGTCTGAATGATGCACAACATATGATAACATCACGTAGCTTAGAACTGGGAATTGCAGGAGGTTTAAAGGTCTTATGGCATCTCTCCAAGGCATGATTGTATCCTGATATACCTATGCCAAGTGTTTATTTGAGCTCTAGTATATATGATTCAAGTTATTCATGAGTAATCGATTCTGGGATGTCTATGAACCTTAAATTATTTCTCCTTGAATAATATAATACTCCAAATCAGTAATCTTTTGATTCATATTGTAGATTTTGTCATCTTTTTTTTTTTAATCCTCTTGGTGCTGTATATTGGCCTTCAATTTTGTCATACACACTTCCTTTTCTTGAAGTTGCTTCTTTAACTGTTGTTGTTCTTCTTTAATTTCTTTTATTTCTTTTATAATATTGTTAATTTCTCATTTGAATTTTTCCAATTGGGAATCAAGTGCTCGTTCTAAGAAAACTTTAGTTATTGTTTGATCCTCTTTCTGTATTAGGTGGATAATGTTTTGAAGTTAATTCTGGCATATTTAAATAATTTTCTTCCAGGTCTGTCCTAGCCATATCGCTTTTACTTGTTTGTGGAGAGAAAAAAGAGAGGTGTTTCTCTTGTTTATTTTACTGTTTATTTTCTTGTTTTGTGTTTCTTTTAGTAAGAATTTTTGATTCAGTGGTCTTTTTTGTTGCCATTTTTTTTTTAATTCTTTCTTTTTTCGTGCAGGAAAAGTACAAAGCAACAAGCAATGCCACAACAGCATTTGCTAGCGTAATGGTCAACATAGTAGAGACATTTGTGTGGCATAATATAACATTGCACATTTTATGGATTAATGTAGATTTAGAAAGAGTGGGATCAACATAACAGCTAACAGATAAGACAGTCGTGTGATTCATTTAGCATAAATAAGCTGGTAATATTGAGGCATTATGGGGTCGCATGTTGAACTGAAATATGTTTTGCCTATGAGCTGCCTAGTGTGGCAAGGCTGAGTTATTCGCTGAGTCTGTACAGATCTTAAAATTAAATTATGATTCTGAACTTATGGGAAACAGGCTTGTTTAAGAGTTTTAAAGGCACTGTGGAGGGTGAGCTGATGGTTAATGCCTTAACGAGTCTAGCCAAGACTCACAGTATAGGTGTTAACACTAAGGATCATACAGACATCAAGCTGCAGTGCCACTGGGTGATTAAGGTAAGTGAAAACTGCTGCCTTCTGTGTAAAGCAAGTTAAGATCTAGTAGGTACTAGAGAGATTGAGGACCTTGTCATGCTTAAACATTGCACGGGTAACATAATGCATAGAGCGGAAAGTAGGGTTATAACAGTTGCTGACATAATAAGAGAGAATATGCTAGGCATGCACATTACACTCCCAAAGAGCTAGCCTTATGTTTTGTTTGAACAATAAGTAGGCTCAGAGTCTATGGCCAATGTGTCAGCCGATACCACAGTCCCAGCTCAGTAAGACTTCGGCACTACTGCCAGGTAAGAGAGCCTGAGGGGCTCCACTACCGCCTCAGGTCTTCCATGGGTACCTCGTGTGGCCTAAGTATGCTCTTGGCAGTGTGCCGGCCTCTCTTCTCCCCAGGCTGATCTGTGGGCTGGTGTCTTTGTTTTCATCCTGATAAAGGGTCAAAGCCCTCCCCAAAGAAATGCCACACCACACCATTACTGACCCACTGCCAAACCGGTCATGCTGGAGGATGTTGCAGGCAGCAGAATGTTCTCCACGATGTCTCCAGACTCTGTCACGTCTGTCACATGTGCTCAGTGTGAACCTGCTTTCATCTGTGAAGAGCACAGGGCGCCAGTGGCAAATTTGACAATCTTGGTGTTCTCTGGCAAATGCCAAGCGTCCTGCATGGTGTTGGGCTGTAAGCCCAACCCCCACCTGTGGACGTCGTGCCCTCATACCACTCTCATGGGGTCTCTTTCTGACTGTTTAAACAGACACATGCACATTTGTGGCCTGCTGGAGGTCATTTTGGAGGGCTCTGGCAGTGCTCCTCCTGTTCCTCCTTGCACAAAGGCGGAGGAAGCGGTACTGCTGCTGGGTTTTTGCCCTCCTATGGCCTCCTCCACGTCTCCTGATGTACTGGCATGTCTCCTGGTAGCGCCTCAATGCTCTGGACACTACTCTGACAGACACAGCAAACCTTCTTGCCACAGCTCGCATTGATGTGCCATCCTGGATGAGCTGCACTACCTGAGCCACCTTTGTGGGTTGTAGACTCTGTCTCATGTTACCACGAGATTGAAAGCACTGCCAGCATTCAAAAGTGACCAAACCATCAGCCAGGAATCATAGGAACTGAGAAGTGTCTGTGGTCACCACCTGCAGAAGCACTCCTTTATTGGGGGTCTCTTGCTAATTGCCTATAATTTCCACCTGTTGTCTATCCCATTTGCACAACAGCATGTGAAATTGATTGTCACTCAGTGTTGCTTCCTAAGTGGACAGTTTGATTTCACAGAAGTGTAATTGACTTGGAGTTACATTGTGATGTTTAAGTGTTCCCTTTATCTTTTTGAGCAGTATATATATATATATATATATGTGTGTGTATATATATATATATATATATATATATATACACACACACAAACACACACACACACACACTCTATATATACACACACACACACACACACACACATATATAATATGTGTGTTTAGAATACACACTTTTATTTCCTATATATGTATAATATATTATAATTAAAGCATTTTATAATATATTGTACATATATAATGCATATATATGATTTCATTATAAGTGTATTTTGAGATATATGTGGATTGCCGGTCCAGGTAAGTCCAGGGCTTCTATTTGCCGCTGTCGTATTAGGTACATCCACTGTCCTTAACTACTGGTTTGTTTTTTAAGGGGATATACATAGATATATATATATAGATATATATTTCATTCTAAGTGTATTTTAATATAAATATATATGAATATCAAAATACAGTTAGAATAAAATTATATATGTGTGTATATAATTTTTGTAAAATTATTTTTAGTTTTTAAGTTTTAATTATTATTTATTTTTTATATTTATATAATATATATATACACAATAACAGTATAGCCATGTACATCATACCACAAGGTCGGGCTTTTATATCCAGACTTCTTTGCCTTTTTCCACACTTCCGACATGACAATCATAGGCTGTCCTTAGATATCCAAGCCACGGCAGACCTGTACATGTGGAAGAATTTCTTAACCACATGGAATGGTAAAAGCTTGTTCCTCCCAGGATTGTCTGACACTTCACCAACCCAAAGATTGCTGCAAAACCCGTGGGTCAGATGCGGCATCTCCCACGGGTTTTGCAGCAATCTTTGGGAACAAATGGCTTTGGGGTAGTTGGCCTGTAGAAGTCCAGGATTTGGAAGGTTTCTCCACTACCTCAGCCCTTTTTGAGATCTACCCTATTGTGGCAGCTGCCGTGGCATGGGGTCATTTATGGTCAGGGTCATCAGTCCGTTAATACTCAGACAACCAAGTCACATGTCATATCATCAACAAGGGCCGCTCATCATCTCTAATGATCATGAGATTTCTCAGGGAACTCAATTGGTTGACCGCATTTCACAATTTATTTTTGGTTTGCTTTCATGTACCAGGCATTTGTAACATAGCCGCTGACAATTTGTCTCGATTTAAATTTCAGGCATTTCATCAAGCACTTCCTTCAGCCGCTCAAGCAGTCACAGCCACTCCTTCATTCCAGCATCTAATCATGGATTAGACATACTCATGAAACATAGCAGGGAACTGTCCCAATTAGCAATTTCATCCAATACTCGTAGGACGCAACAGAGACTTCACCTTGTTTAAAAGATTCCTATTGGAACATGACATATCCCAACCTTTTGTTATGATATCTATCCTGGGTTTTGCCATCTTAAACTACAACTATCTTACAACACCATTAAATTATATTTGACAGGCATTCAACACCACATGCTAACTCTATGGCCAAACACCCATAGCTTCATGTCATCATATCAGATAAAGAACATACTCAGAGGCATTCAGAAATCAGTTCCCCAACATACCTCTCAGAGATTACCTATAGACAACCAACTTTTCCAATCCCTATCTGACCTATTAGATTTACACCCATTTAATTCTACCACCAACTCCGTAATTAAAGCGGCCATGTACATAGCCTTCTACGGTTTTCTCAGGCCAAGAGAGTTTACTACCATCACCACCACTCAGACAGATAGATGTCTTTAACGATCCCACCTACACAAACACATGGATAACTACATATTGGCTCTACTACAGTACAAAACGAGCCAACACGCACCAAATCACATATTATCCTACACACAATAAATGGTGCCCAGTTGCGGTTCTAGATTCATACCTTCAAAACCCTACCTCACAACCATCACAACCATTATTTGTATTACAAGGCTCAGTGCTTACTACCGCTACTTTCATGAGAGATGTCAGATCTCTGTTAACCCAGCTAGGTCGCAACCCTTCTAACTACTCGGGTCACTCCTTCCTTATAGGGGCGGCCTCCACAGCCTCCAGCACCACCATACCAGTGCACATTATAAAATCACTGGGGCGATGGAAATCTTCTGCTTACAAATGATACATACCCAAAGGAGTACAAGAAATAAGGAATGCATTTAAGGAAATGTCTGGTTAATGTGTATGTATTTGTTGACTAAATTAAATCTTTGATTATTCACTTTTTGCCCTCTTTATTTACAGGACCGCTATATCGTCGGTCCTGGCACACCACAACCAACTTGCTCTTTATACTATCCTATGCTAACACTGGAACTTACTCCTTTTATGGCAATGTGCCCCAATCACAAGAATTAAGGCCATTTGGTCTGTAATTGTGGGAGGGGCTTATGATTATACTTACCTATATAAGGAACACCCTTTACCTGACTCTATACCGTTCGAGGTCAGCGTTTGAATGACCCTCCCACCACTCCACATTCTCAACACTTTTTTCCTTTCTTTTCTTTTTCCTTTTCTTTTCTTATTGCTTAGTAGGCCCTCTTTATTTACAGTAAATACAGTAAACTTCAGACTCTTATATCCCATGGCCTTAATGCAGATTTTGATTTATATAATTTTTTATGAATCTCTATGTCTGTACCTTTAAATTATGGTTTTTATATAATTTATTTTCAACATTCTTTTATTATCACCTTTTATCTAATTTGTCTCTTTAATTTGGATTGTCTTTCCCTCTTTCCAACATAAGGTGTATTTGTTTTAACTTATGTTTTTAATCTTTATTAACCAACTCCTCTGTAAAAAGTATTATACTTGTCATGTTCTTTTCCTATTTTATTATCTAAATTTGGTGTTTTTTTATCATTAACTTATATGCTATATTCTAAACTACACTTCCCATAAGGCATTTCGGCTATTATTGCCGAAAACCACGTGACCACTTTAAAAGTGCTTTATGTTATAGCCAGCCCCTTCGTTTTATAATTTTATTCTTTGTTGCCACACTACTTTAATTTTGGTAACCCAATTAAGTATGTGCCGCCGGTCATGTGACTTTTTGAAACTACCCAAAATTATACTTTCTCACCTTCGTTTTAAATCCATATATATTTTAATGAAGTTGTATTATTATAAATTATGTGCAGAATACGTCATTATGTATTTTAAAGTTGTACATATGTTTTTAATTCTGATTGGACAAACTAAGTTTTGGCGCCAAAATTCAATCAATTATGCTCTTATATAACATCTATGTGCCAGGTAAATCATGTTAATCCATTTGATAAAGTCCCTTTGTGACGAAACGCGTTATGGATATTTAATATTGTGTTTTTTATATATATTAAAGTATTTTTGGTCATTTGTTTGTGCCAATTATCTTTTTTATAGACACATATCTTTCTTTTTTACCCTGGCCTTTTAACTGTTATTTTAAATATTTTTTATGGTTTTAAAAGAAACCTAAAAATTCCTGGAAGTTTCCTGTACCCAAAGAAATCTGTAGGTGGGGATCAATCCACCCAAGCTATCATCAAAGAGCAGTGGGTCTGCTCTTTCTTTGTAAGGAC